GCGACATTCAGTAATGTGATCTGAATGCACAGAGAGAGAGAGAGAGAGAGAGATAAGAGCTCAAGATGCCAGTTCCCCAGGTAGTCTAAGCCTATAGCAGCATAACTACGAGCTCATCTATACCTGCGCCAGCCCTACTATAAGATTTATCAAAACAGAATGTTTTAAGTCTAGTCTTAATGTATATGTATGTAGTGCCTGTTTCTGTCATTATTGTGGCATAGTGCATATCCATAGGATCCTGTATGTGCATGTGTGTGTATATTTCAACCTATGTGTGTGTTCATGACTTACAGAGTGTAAAACTGAAATTTCCCCTTGCGGGGATCAATAAAAGTAAATCTTAAATCTTAATCTTAATCTTGTTGAACAAGCTGGTGAGGAAGGCCTGCTCTGTAGTGGGTCTTGATCTGGACAGTTTGGAGACAGTGGGTGAGAGGAGGATGAAGGACACCCTCTCACCCTCTACATGGTGAGCTGTGGCAGATGGGCAGCTCCTTCAGCCAACGCCTCATCCCCCCCAGGTGCAAACAGAGCGCTTCAGGCGCTCCTTTGTGCCCACTGCCATCAGACTGTACAACAGCAGCCTATGACAACAATAACAGTCCATCCTGACACTAAACTTCACCCCCATAAAACATTACCCACATGACCTGCTTCATTATTATTATCATTACTAATTATTTATTATTATTATTATTATTATTATTATTTATTATTATTATTTAGCATCAATGTATATAGACATAAATACTGTACATTCTATATATTTTATTATATTATTATATTAGTCTATATTATATAACTTTCATTATATTACACTATATTGTTCATATTGCACTATATTATATTATATTATACTACATTATATTATATAACTGCACTCTGCATTACTGTGGTACAACACTGCCTCTCTTCTCTGCTGTTTACATTACTTGCTGCTAGTTATCATACCAAGTCACTTTAATCATCACGTTTCACTTTATCTTTTCATTCTCTACAAATACTGTCTCAACTCCCTGCATAGTTAACTTCATCATTCATTTTGCATATACCCCCTGTTTTTATTTTTATTTATCTAATCTGTTTAATGTGTATTTTGAGCTTTCTTGTCGTGCTGCTGCAACGCCCGAATTTCCCCTCTGGGGATCAATAAAGTATTATCTTATCCTATCCTGTTTTAAAACCCTTCAATAAAAATACATAAAAAAAGAATACAGAGTGCAGTCTATGTGCTACGAGCGATTGTAGCAGGAAACCACACAGGCACTGCTGTGCACCCTCTCCCCCAAATAATTATATCACCTGCAGTGTTCTCCCAGCAGAAGACACAAGGGTGGGTCTAACATTGTCCAATTACTCACAAAGCACATTGAGCAGTCATCTTCCAGATAAATCTGGAGCTCCATCACAGTCTAAAAATGTTTATTTCAGCAGCTAAAAGTTGAATTCTGTTTCCTCTTTAGAGTTTCCTCTGTCCTGTCAACTTCACATCTACAGTTTTTAGTTTTGCTGCTAAACTGTGCCATGATGTTTGCAGCTGTGGCGTGTGTTTATACTCTGTGTAGTCTTTATTAACATTAATGAATTTAATACTATTATTAAACAGTTGTTACTGCGCCTCAATCATTGATCTGAGAGGTTATTGTCAATGCTCTGCTTAATAAATATCAGTGTTGGTGATGACAACGATTGAGCCATGAAGTCACCAAATCATTGTTTTGCCAGGGAATACGAGACTTCTTTTCTTGGTCCTTGGGTCATCCTGGCTGCTCTGTTTTTCACTGATCTTTTTCAGCATGGTTGTTTCTTCTCTTAAGGGGCTTGGTTCAAGATCACAGTCATATCCTGAGGACATGTCTTGCTATTTGCTAACCTGTGCTCCCTGAATTAATTGCACAAGAAGTGCTGATGAATACATTTGTCTGCAGGGAGCTGACCCCATCCTGTAGGGTTTGGATGTCATTATTTATTTCTTCTTTATTTCGAACGATTAAAATATAGATGAAAATGAAAATTATGCTTATCGAAATGCTAATTGAATAGCTATTTTTTTAATCACCTCTAAGGAGAGGTGGATCAGACAAGCGACAGTTTCTTGGAATGCTGTGTGGTCTGATTGAAAAGGAGCCTCGGTTCCCGGCTCACATAGGGTCGTGGCACACTTTCACCTCGTAAAACAGAAGCCTAGTGGCTGATAATTACTTTAAACTGCTTTGATATACAAATCTAAATTCGGTAGCAGAGCAAATCTGATCTGAAGTTTTCCTGTAACTGCATCAGAGACCACTCCACTACCAAACAGAGGTAAGCTGCTCCACTTTCCCTCTTTTTCCTGTAGTTTGTCCCCACTACAGTGCACTTTGTATGACCAAACATTACCCAACACAGAGTGAGCATGCCAGCTTCCAGCTTTAGTTTAGTGCACGACTGCATATATTGTTTATGGTGCTAATACTCTACCTTTGGTGATAAAACCAATCTAACAATGACTGAACACAGATGAGTCAAAACATGTCAAATCATACACAGTTCAAAATTACAAAGGATATTCTCTTCTTATTGTCACATTGCTGCAAGGTTTTACATTTCTCACAGTCTTTAAAAATATACAAATCAATTATTTAATGTTTTAAGCATATCTTTTATTTAGCCAGTCGGAGGAGTTCTGACCCCGGTGTAGATCGTCTCTTCTGTTGCTGCTTTAACTTTTCTCTTCTCTCTTTTGTCCGTTCTAATCTTAGAAAAAGTCGGTGCAGAATAAACCAACGAGTCCTCAGCGCTCTGAGAAAATAACAAAAAATAGTTTGAAGTCAGTATGCTGTTGATAAAGCTGTGCAGAGTATGTATCATGAATTTAGTTTCAACAGCAACATGAGGGTGAAACTTTTGCCCTTTTAGAAATCAGCTACCTGAGAAAAAATAGTCTGAGCAGATATTTCTATAAACTTAAAAAGTAAAACAATATTCCAACAAATGATTCTCGTTGAATCTTTTCTGAAGTATCTCACCTGCTGGCGTCGTCGATCTGCTGCAGGATGTGTTTGCAGAACTTCAGCAGCTGTGATATCAATTAAAAACAAAGATGTAAGTGTTTAATTTACACAAAGATATAGAGTTAATGTTTGCTCAATACTTTATTTTATTTATTTGAGATAATGTTCTGTTACCTTTGCTGGACTCACACGATTTAGTCTTGATGATATGAATCAGGAAAGCTATAATAATCAAGCTTATAGCCAAAGCAGCTGATAACAGAGACAGAGCTATTACGGCCGTCTGATTGTCGGCTCCTGAAAACATATAAAAACATATTGTGTTAAGATGTTTCACTAAAATCTTCCAGGTAGATTCAACTGTTTGAAAATGAATGTTAAAAAATGATTCATATTGAATGCTCTGCAGTTACCTTTGATGTCAATCTTTGTCCCATTTCCAAACAATATCTCTCCACATGCGGCCACAGCACAGAAATAAGTCGAGGCGTCGGAGGATTTGACGGTCTTTGAGAAGCTGTAGACACATTTCTGTGGAGAGTGAGCCTCTGGACTCTCCTCACATCCTCCAGGTCTGTTTCCATGAGTGTAAATGACACTGGGATGATTTTCATCTGATCCGGCTCTGAACCAGAACACTCTGTGTTTCCCTGGACATGTGTTGTTTTCAGACTCAGAGAGAACAGAACACTGCAGAGTCATCAGGTCTCCTGGGTGGACTGGATCCTGTGAAATGTCTTGAACGACTGAGGTGATACTGGGCTCTGGTCCTGAATAAATTCAACACAAAGTAAATACGCTGGATTTGATAAAAAATATTCAAAGTAGCTGCAGTTTAGAATTAAGAGAAAAACATCCTAGAAAGTATGCTGTATGTTTTTTCCTTATTCAGGGGACATTTGGTTGACTGCTGTCATAAATGGTGTTAGGTATTGTTTTAAAGAAGTTGAAGTGCATTTTATTTACCTTTAATCTGCAGAAATGTTCCTTTTAAAACTGTCATTTTAATCCACTCTTGTTTCACACAAAAGTAAAGTCCAGTGTCACTGAGTTTTACTCATTAATAATCATCACAAACGTTCCAGGCTCTTTTTTTGCTGTGAATCCAGGAGTTTCTTCAACATAGTTAGAATCAATGGCATTGGTTCCTCCCAAAACCTCAGGCAAATCACCAGAAATGAGCCGGAACCAGAATAATTGTGTTGAAGATAAAGAAGCATCACGAGGACACGTCAGAGTCACATCATCTCCAACACCAACAGTCTTTGTCTCAAAGTTCTCATAGATGGTGCATCCTGAAGAAAATAAATATATGTCAGTGTTTAACAACAGAGAAAGATCATGTATGCTCTGTGCTAAAAATAAAACATATTAACCCTTAAAAGATCAGAATTAGACGAGAAGATTGGACATAAACTTACGAGCAAGTGTGAGCGTCAGTAGAAAAACAAGAACAGACTTCATTTTCTCCTTCGTCCACTTAATACAGCAGTAGAATTAGCTCGTATGAGAAGCTGCTTCTCCTTCATAGAACCATATAAAGTAGGAGGGAACAATCACAGAGCAATCTGATTGGCCCTTCATTATGAGGGTATTACTTTAGAACCACAGTGGAATTTTTTTTTGACCGTCTTTCAAGCTAAAGCACATGAAACAATAGAAGCAGCAAGCTTCTGTTTCAAGTTTTCATGGTGGGTTTCTGTACCTGCTGCTGAGCGGAAACACAATAACTACAGTTTTCTTCAGTATTTTTTCAAACTCAACCAGTGGTTCGTGAAAGCATCAACTTTCCCATTTTGGCAAATACGATGATGGATCTTTCGAACCAGAAGTGACCATATTTGGATCTGGATGTGGATACACATTAGTCCCTTACATGCAGCAGTACCCCCCTCTCTGTGTGTGGTTTAACATCCTTTTTGGAGTGTTCTGTGAGTGTGTGGAGTCACATGTCTAGCGAGTGGTCCCTCCCCTAAGGTATATAAGTGGCTGAGACTGAGTGATCTGTTTCGTCTTTTTCTTAGCGCTTGAGTGTGCACTGATGAGTCAAACAATCCCCACTGCTGGTGACCAGTCTACTGGGAGCTGCCGGATATTATCTGGTCTGCTGGGGCCCACAGAGGTCTTGCAGTGCCATTGGCGTGGGAGTCCGCCCCCCTGGATTAGATGGCCTGCGAGTTTCGCAGTCAGGGAGGATCCCGTTGTTCCCTGCCCTCATTCCACACCAGGGCGGAGAAGCAGCAGACCCCAAATCTTTGAGGACTCCAGTCCACTTGTGCCTCAACTTCAAAGGTTCAATGACCAGGGTGTTTTTAGGCCTTTTTAGGAGTGAGAGTCACCACCATGGTGGCGGGGCAACGTTCTGCTCCCCCCTCATCCAGGGACCTGCTGACAGCCTGACAGTATTACGACGTCATGTACAAGAGGTATTCGTGCTTAGGCACGGTTAGTCTTGTGTAGTGTGGCGGGCCTCGCCAGACAGCAGGGGAATGGCGCTGTGGGGGGGCAATCGTGCTTGGGTACAGCACGGTACGGATGGCGAGTGTGACCGTGCCCTTAGAGACCGTAGGTACCACGAGCAGGCCTGATAACTGAAGGCTCTACCTCCCGTAGTACATTTAGAGACCGTAGGTACCACGAGCAGGTCTGATAACTGAAGGCTCTACCTCCCGTAGTACATTTAGAGACCGTAGGTACCACGAGCAGGTCTGATAACTGAAGGCTCTACCTCCCGTAGTACATTTAGAGACCGTAGGTACCACGAGCAGGTCTGATAACTGAAGGCTCTACCTCCCGTAGTACATTTAGAGACCGTAGGTACCACGAGCAGGCCTGATAACTGAAGGCTCTACCTCCCATAGTACATTTAGAGACTGTAGGTACCACGAGCAGGCCTGATAACTGAAGGCTCCACCTCCCATAGTACATTTAGAGACCGTAGGTACCACGAGCAGACCTGATAACTGAAGGCTCTACCTCCCATAGTACATTTAGAGACCGTAGGTACCACGAGCAGGCCTGATAACTGAAGGCTCTACCTCCCATAGTACATTTAGAGACCGTAGGTACCACGAGCAGGCCTGATAACTGAAGGCTCTACCTCCCATAGTACATTTAGAGACCGTAGGTACCACGAGCAGGCCTGATAACTGAAGGCTCTACCTCCCATAGTACATATAGAGACCGTACCACGAGCAGGCCTGATAACTGAAGGCTCTACCTCCCATAGTACATTTAGAGACCGTACTTAGGCCTGCATTCTGGGAGCGTAATGTTCCTGAAGGGTAATACAACATTATCAGCTCCTTAAGATAAGATTTTTCCTGATCAGAGCTTTGTAAGAGAGGAAAGGATTTTAAATTATATTCTAGATTTTATTGGGAGCCAGTGCAAAGAAGCCAACAAAAGAGAAATGTGATCCCTTTTCCTAGTTCTTGTCACTACAGCTGCAGCATTTTGTACTATTTGAAGAGTCTTCAGAGACTTACCAAGGTAGCTGTCTAGTGTGCAGCCAGCCTTATTTTATGAAGCCATAAACTCCCACTACATATCTCTTGTTGAGGCCAAACAGAGCAGGTACAAACCAGTGAGAGATTAGCACCTCCCCTCTGGCTGGTGAAAAACACAATAAAAACAATTCACATTGCTGCCTTTTCCTAAACCTAAGTTGGTGTTGTGATACTATTTCTAATAAAAACAGTATTATAGCTCTCTCACTTTAAAGAAGGTAATAGAAAAGTTAAGTTGAACTTCCTGAGATTCAAACAGAGTGCAGCAACAGAAAAAAGCCTCTTTGTATTCACACCTCGATGTGAAGCCTAACCACAACGGCACTCGAGTTTCCATGCATGACTTGGTCTTCAGCTGTGACTGTGAATGTGTGTTCATCTGTTTGTTTGTGTGTGTGGGCAAAAAGTTGACCACAGGCAGAACACCTAAAAGTTTTAATGCACAGTGAACTAACCACTAGCATGCAAGAAATATCTCCTAAACTGTTTCTGCTTCATGCTTTCTCTCTCTCTCTCTCCCTCTCTCTCTTTTGCTCTCTCTCTCTCTCTCTCTCTCTCTGTCTCTCTGTCTCTCTGTCTCTGTCTCTCTCTCCCTTCTCTCTCTTTCTCTCTCTCTCTCTCTCTCTCTCACTCTCTCTCTCTCTCTCTCTCTCTTTCTCTCTCTCTCTCTCTCTCTCTCCCTTACAGTCATTTAATTATATGCACAGTTACGTCCAGCTACACTTACAGCTCAAAAAGGCAATTTTTTTCAACCTTTATTTACACTCGAGACATCATTGAGGGGCGGACTAGACTTTAGGGGTGGAGCATGCTTGAGCAAAGTACAGATTGCCTAGTGTGAGTGCGCCCTCAAACCTGACTGATATGGGCTCATGATTTTGGTTCTGGAAAGAAAATCTTTAAACTAGTCATTTATTAAGAATTCTATATTGTTTGGCCTGTAATTATTGAGATTACCCTTGTCTCCTCCCTTATGTAGGAGCAGGTGAGGGGTTTGTGGAGCATGCTCAAAACGCCTAGTCTAGTTTGGGTCTGACTGAGGTAGGACGTAGGTCAAGCAGCAGTAAAATCAACTGCTGCTTGCCGGTTTCAGTCCTCATGGTTTCCTGTACACAAAAAAACAGGGAATGTGGCAGAACCCTAAACTTGCAATAAAATCACTCCGCCAACTAGCCTTTAAGAGGAGTATTGCAGAGCTAAGGAGCAAGCATGTTTCAACATTTAAAGGTAGAATATGCAATATTTTACACATAAATATAGCAGAAATCCAGTATATCCTCTGAAAATAACTCTGAGTCATGACTGTCATGAGAGTCCCGTGGTATCTACACACTGTTTACATGGACGAGCCGGCTGGCCGGCTCATCCCCTTGCGTATAAAAGTTGTTTAGTTGAGGGACTAGAGAAAAGAAGAATAACATACTTTACTGACTGCTTATTTGAGTGTCATGTAAGTGTTTTTAGATCACAGTCATTTGGTGTAAATTCACATGCAATGTGAAGCTACCAGCAAACTAAAGAGCGCTGCAACGGGAGACGTGGAGCAGCAGTAAAAAACGGCGCACTAAAAAAGCAGACATATATGTTAATTGACATGCGACATTTAAAAGGTTACCAATCCTGCCTTATGCTGTGATAGCCTATTTGGGTTGTACATAAAAGTAAGTTGTATTTAACTCATCAAAAAAATTCAATATTTGTGTGTTTCTGAGCACAAACAATTACATTTGCACATGCTGTCTGACAGACGGCTGAGGTGCTTGGAGGGGGGTCTAGAATGTTGGTGGTCCTAGTGTTAATGGATCAAGCAAATGTGTAAAACTTAAAGTCTTGTATTTACTTAAAATGCTGCAGTGATGATGTCCTATTTGTGTTTTTGTGCAGAATCTTCAAGGCTCGATTGTAAAGGTGCTCTACAGATTTCTGACAGGTTGTTCTGGGACCAG